CGCTTGTCCTGGGAACATCCCACGACACGTCGGAACAGAAGCGACCCACCCCCCCACACATCCCGCGCGCTCGCCCCCCCCCCCCTCCTCAACTACACAGTACGAGTACTAACCGAGTGCGGGCGATAATAATACCCCGGGGATGACAAAGTTCGGGGTTCTGGCGCCGATCATAACAGATTTTCCCGGGGATGAGGACACTGATGATGATGACGATGACGATGACGATGACGATGATGATGATGCTGATGGTGATGATGATGATGCTGATGATGATGATGATGATGATGATGATGATGATGGTGATCCTGGGTGCTCGGCACAAGGCTGACTCGAGAGATCTCGAGGCTCGTGGCTACACAACTTGCCAGCAGGCGCTCGGCACAAGGTTGACTCGAGAGATCTCGAGGCAGGCGCTCGGCACAAGGCTGATTCGAGAGATATCGAGGCTCGTGGCTATACAACCTGCCAGAAGGCGCTCAACATGTGATGATAGCAACTTCGATTCGCAACTTCCCCCGTGGATTATAAAGTTCGGCCTCCGCGCCTATCTCCAAAATCAAATCCTGTTGGACGGGGATAAAAAATAGAGGGGGTTCAGGGGGGGGTAGGCTTTATTATCGCCCGCACTCGGTTACTCTCCTCTCTCCCCTGACTCTGTTTGGAGAGTGGCCCGTCCCCTCCGCGTTGTTTTGTATGGAAAAAACGCACAAGGTGTCATTGTTTATTGTTTTGCTTTGTGTTTTTTCAAGCTGGTCATTTCTGGTTCTTCCAAAATGGTGCTCCCGCTGCAGCGCAGCCCTCATTTCCGCGCTTCGGTCATTCAAAATCGTGCTCCCGCTGCAGCGCTGGCCTCATTCCCGCGCCTCCGGACGGCACTTGGCATTCGAAAGCGCCCACATCGGGCAGGCGCGGTTGCGGAAGACATGGGAACGGAATTCCGGACAGGCCCTGTCCTCTCGTAGACGGGCCAGTTACCCTCCAAGTCATCGGGTGCCATGCCACGTCATGCAATGCGATGCTGTGTTGTGCGCTGCTGTGCGATGCCATGCTTTGCGTTGTTCTCCATATGATCCAACGCTTCACTACGCAATGCCACGCCATGCTATGACATGGTATGCTCTGCCGTGCTCTTCTACGCCATGCTTGTCCATCCATCGCGTGCCCTCTTCGGATCATTGCCCTGCTCGGCATCCGACTGCGCGAATAGATAGGAGATCCGCGCCATGGTAAGGAGTGGGAGGGATGAGGGATGAGGGAGGACGTCAGATGTGACGCTAGCGCACAGAGCTTGTCCCCCCCCCTCCCCCTTCCCCCCCCCTCCCCCGCCCCCACCCCTCGCCCTCCTTCCTGCCCTCCTTCCCCTCCTCTCCCTCCCCCTGACTGACTGACTGACTCATGGCATTCGAAGTCGAAGATCGCTGCCACCAATCCTGCCTCCCCCGCACGGCTAAGCCCAGCACGGTGGATGGGGGCTAAAACGAAACAGTGCTCTCTTGGCTTCCTGGCGGTGGGGGAAGGTCGGGAAAACGGCCCCCGCGTTTCCTTCTCTACCTCCTCCTTTCCTCCCCCCGCCCGGCCCCCCCCCCGCTCCCTTCTCCCCTCCAAGCGGCCACAGAGCACGCTCGCTCACACCGACGCATCTCCCAGCGGCTCGGGGGGGGGGCAGACCCCCGACGCAACGATTTGATTCTGACGACGACCCCCGCGAGGTCCGGACCCCTTCCCGGGACCCTTTTTTCTCGCCCGGATCCCACTCGGACGCTCCCGGGGCCTCGCGAGGGCCCCCATGGAGCTGAAAAAACATATAGCGAAAACAATAACAACGCCCCGAATCCATATATATATATATATATACATATATATATATATACACATGTGTATATTTATACATATAGATATGTGTATATATATATATATATATATATATATATACATATGGGGGATTCCGACCCCAGGGACCCGCAGGGCCCCCCCCCCCCTTGTACATAGGTAGTGCCCCCCTCCCAGGAGCCCTCCAGGACCCGCCCCCGAGGCTCAGAGCAGCCCTAAATCCGCCCAAGATTGATAATAGATGGCCCAAGAGCTCTCCAAGACGCACCAAGAGGACCCCAAGAGCGCTCCAAGACGGCCCAGGAGGCCCCCAAGGGTGCCCGTGAGGCTTCCGAAAAGCTCCTCGAGAAATTCGAATCTTTCACAAACCAGCGGCAAATTTATATTTTTGGACTCAGAGGCCCTCAAGACGGCCCAAGAGGCCTTCCAGAAGGTCACCAAAAGGCGAAACCAGCCAAATTCCATTCGGAAAACGTACGTTTTTAGCATATTCGCTTCTTCGGTCCTAACAGCGCCCAAGACGGACCCAAAGGCCCCCAAGACGGCCGTAAGACGACCCAAGAGGCCTCCAAGAGGGCCCCAAGACGGCCCAAGAGAGCTCCAACACGGCCCATGAGAGCCCCCCGACGGCCCACGACGGTCCCCAGAGGTTTCCAAAAGAGTCCCCAGGGAGCCCCAAGAGGGCCACAGAAGGCACCCTCGACGGCCCAAGAGGGCCCCAAGAGGGCCCCAAGACGGCCCAAGCGCCCAAGACGGTCCAAGAGGGCCCCGGGACGGGCCAAGAGGACCCCAAAGAGCCCCAAAGAGCCCCAAAAGGACCCCCAAGAAGGTCCCAAGAGGCCCCCATAGACTCCCAAAACGCTCCCAAAACGGTCCCAGGAGGCTTCCCAGTAGTCACCCGTAAGCGTATGGGAGGTCTCGCTTCGACGTCCTGCACGAGGCTCCCAGAAAGGCTTCAAGAGGCTCCCGATTCACGATCCATCCCAGGGCTTCAGAGGGCTCACAGAAACATGCCGCGTGGCCCACAGAAGCACCCAAGACGCCCCGAACTCACGATCCAGGTCAGGGGTGCATTTACTGCCATGGGCGGGGCGGCGGGATGCGAACGTTGGCTCTGGAACCGTCGGTGGAGCTCCCTGTTGATACGATTCGTGTGAGGAGACAGTCGACATACGCGCGGGGGGGACGTGACGTTATGCGAATCCCCACACTAAGGCTGCACGTGAAACGACATCCGTCTGGGGCACGATTCGTGTGTTGGGTGTGCCGAGATGGGCGGAGCGACGCCGTGCGAACTTTGTCCCTGGACCCGAAAGAGGACCTCCCAGGGGGACAAGATCCGTGTGGGTGCCGTGCCGAAATTGACGGGGGGGCGCCATGTGAACCCCGCCTTCATCTGGGGCCGTAGGTCTCGCTTCCATCCGCATGATCGGTACTATTTCACCTCGAGCTCAAGCCAGTTGTGGGTCACTGCTTCAGTGGAGCTGTGACCTTCTCAGGGGATGGGGCTGTTGAGAACGCCCTTCTTGGGGATCATTGTGGGCCTCTGCGTTTTTTGTCGCGCTGAGGAGGCACTTCTTTTGACCCTCTCTTTCTGTCGTTATCTTCGGGCTTTCTTGGGGCGCCACTTGGGGCCCTCCTGAGCTTCGTTCTGGAGCCTGCTTGGAGCTCTTTCGGGGCCACGCTTGGGCCCCCCTTAGCCTCTCTCGGAGAACTCATTGGATGTTCTTGGGTGCCCTTTGACCATGTCTTGGGCTCCCCTTAGGGTCCTCTTGGGCTCTTCCCAGGGCGGCTCGTCCCTGGGATCTCTGAGTTCCGTGACGACTCGGACTCTCTCGGTCTTTTGTCATTTCGTGCATTGTATTGCATTGCATTCCACTGGGCTGCTTTCCGTTGCATGTGCAATTGCATTGTTTCGTGATTCACATTGCACTTATGAGCATCGCTTTCCTTTGCTTTGCATTGTATTCGTAGCCTTGTATGTGTTTGGCTAAACTGGCTTGCATAGCTTCGAATTGAATACTGGAGAGGCCTTACTGCCGGTGCCGCTGACCCTGAACGACGACGGCGGCGGCGACGACGACGACGACGACGACCAAGGGGGGTCGCTCCCCCCTGTGGAGGGGGAGACTGGCCCGTGGGGTGGCGCTCCCTCCTGTGGACGGGGGGAGCATGGGACGCTTGGAGCGGGGACGCTGGGGGGAAGGGAGGAGAGGCTCTCTCCCCCCGGTTCTTGGGGTGGTCCCGGGGACCCTCCGCCACATATTCGGGATCGACAAAACAATAACAGGAGCCCCACGGGCCCCAGGGCACCCCCCGGGACCACCCCCCAGGACCACACCCCGAGACCACCCGCCGGGACCACCCCCCGGGAGTTGCCCCGGGACACCCCCGCCCGCTGGGGAAGGGATCAAGGGACGGTGCTTCCCTTCGTTGTTCGATTCGATTTCGTATTGGCTGGATCGGTTGAGGAAGAGGGCCCGGGGAAAGGGGGAAGATGGCGAGGGCGACGACGACGACAACGACGACCGCGACGGTGACGACGACACCGACGACGACAAACGGAAGAGCGCCTCACACACGCCGACAGGGTCGGCTGATTAAGGGGCATATGTCATTGTCGGTGCCTGGGCTCTGTTCGGCCAGCATCATGGATGCTTCTTGTACCTCATGCTCACACCATCAATGGGGAATCACTTCAGTGGACACGGGACCTCCTCGGGGGATGGGGTCGACTAGAACCTAAGCGCGCGCGAAGCGCGCGCGTGGTTCTAGTGTGTATATGTGTGTATATGTATATGTATATATATATATATATATATATATATATATATATTGAAGGGGCCCTGGGACACACAAATAAATACACACAAATAAAAATGTTCCCCATATTTTCCTATATTTTCTGGGTTTCTGTCTTCCCCCCCACTTCCCATATTTTCCATATTTTCTAGGAATCGATGATTAATTGTGTCTGTGTGTTTCTTTTCCTCCCTGATATATATATATATATATATATTATATATATATATATATATATATATATATATATATATCGGGGGAGCCATCCACCGTGATTTCTTGCCACGGCTCGCGCAGGCTGGGCCACAGCCCCCCCCCCCCCGCGTGCCCCGTTTGTGTCCCGGGCCCGGCCCCCGCCGCGGCGCCTCCGCGCGGGGGCTGGCGCCCGGGGCCCGCCCCGCACCGCCGCGGGCGAGGCGGGGCGCGGGGCTGAGGGAGACTGCGGGGGGGGGGGGGACGGCGACGGCGACGGCGACGGCGACGGCGACGACGACGACGACGACGACGACGGCGACGACGGCGACGACGACGACGACGACGACGTCGAGATCGGGAGGCTCGGCGAAGCGGGGGGCGGCGGAGCGGTATCGGGCCGAGTGTCCCCCCGCCAACTGAAACTGTAGCTGGACACGCCGAGCATCCTGAGGGTATGTGCGGCCTGGCGTGCGCTGGGATGCGGATGTGCGGATGGCCCACCTCCAGGGGGTGGGAGGCCAGAGCTGTCCTCGCTCAACCACAGGCCCACGGCAAGCAAGCAAGCAAGCAAGCAAGCAAGCAAGCAAGCAAGCAAGGCAGCCAGGCGCCCAAACGGCGCACAGGCAGCACAGGAGTCTCCGAACCACGCGGATGAAAGACAAGGGAGATATGCACAGAACGCGCACGGGAATGCACACGCCGCCCGCTGTAGCTTCGGGCGTCCACGTTTGCGCCAGTGTCCAGGAGCAAGAGGTCAAGATAGTGACATTCCAGGATTTCCAGGAATCCCATACGGCTTCCCGATGTCCCATGAAAAAGGGGCTGCAGGAACGAGGGCCGCCATATACTCTCTCTTGACATCCGGGAGCTTCTCCTGAACCAGCCCTGTCACGATACCATTCTCGTCCGATGAAGGGTAACGTCAGGGTTGGACAGGCTCAAATCGGGGATGGACAGACCCCCCTTTAGTAAAACGTGGTTTAGTGAAAACGACCTGAAGCCCAAACCTGGTGGGCGCAAGCCTGAAAAATAACGGCCACGGCGCCCTCTCGAGAACCGAAAACGGACAATTCACTGATCGACGTGTCACTGTTGGGGGTTCTGTCCACCCCCGATCAAAGGGGGGGAGGGGCCATCGAGCCGGGACCGGCGACGCATCGCCACCCGCCCGTCCCTGGGCGGAAGGTGGGCTGTCGGGCCCCACCGGCGATGCATGGGCGACCGGGGGTCGATGCCGAGCCCATCCCGCCCCGAGCCCAGCCCGCCCTGACGTGGCCTCTGCAGGGCGGCTACGCAGACGTCAAGACGAGGGCAGGATGAGGACTCCTCCTTCCCCTTCGGGGAGGGGTCTCGGTCCCCGGACCCCCGACGTCATGATTTACTCGTGACGTCGACCCCCGGAGGTCTCGGTCCTCTGTGACCGAAAATTATCCCGGCAAAGCAACCTAACAGCGATGTGTAGAAGCATATCTGAAAGCATTCCCCTTAAGATTCATATGAAAATCCAGTTGTCGAATTCTGCTGTTCTCGCAGTCGTAGTCGCATTCGCGATGACAGTCGCAGCGGCAACGGCAGTCGCAGTCACAGCCTCAGCCTCAGCCTGCCTCCTCCTCCTCCTCCTCTTTCTCCTGCTCCTCCTCCTCCTCCTCCTCCTCCTCTCCTCCTCCTCTCCTCCGCTCTCCTCGTTCTCGTCCTCCTCGTCTTGCTCGTCCTCCTCCTCCTGGTGCTCTCTCCTCCTCCTCCTCCTCCTCCTCCTCCTCCTCCTCCTCTCCCCTCCTGGTGGTCCTCGTTCTCCTCCTCCTGGTGCTCTCCCCCCCCCTCCTCCTCCTCGTCCTCCTCCTCCTCCTCGTCCTCCTCCTCCCTCCTCCTCCTCCTCCTCCTCCTCCTCCTCCTCCTCCTCCTCCTGGTAGTCCTCCCCCTCCCCTCCTCCTCCCTCCTCCTCTTCCTGTCGCTCGTCGTCTCCGTTGCTCGTCCTCCTCCGTCCTGTCGTCCTCCTCCTCCTCTCTCCTCCTCCTCCCCTCCTCTCCTCCTGGTGGTCTCGTTCTCCTCCTCTCCTGGTACTCTCCCCCCCTCCTCCTCCTCCTCCTCGTCCCGTCCTCGTCCTCCTCCTCCTCCTCCTCCTACTCCTCCTCCTCCTCTCCTCACCTCCTCCTCCCCATCCTCCTGTACTCCCCCCCTCCCCCTCCTCCTCCTCCTCCTCCTCCTCTTCCTGGTCGTCCTCCTCCTCCTGGTCGTCCTCCTCCTCCTGCTCGTCCTCCTCCTCCTCCTGCTCGTCCTTCTTCTCCTGCTCCTCCTGCTCCTCGTCCTGCTCCTGCTCGTCCTCGTCCTCCTGGTCTTGCTCGTCCTCCTCCTCGTCGTGCTCTTGCCCCTGCTGAAAATGTGGCCCAGGAATGGGAGTTCTGGGAAGTCGAAGAGCACGAAGTTGCCTACAGTGGGCTACGGGCATTCAAAATGTGGCCCGGGAATGGAGTTCTGGGAACTCGAAGAGCACGAAGTGGCCTACAGTTGGCTCCGGGCATTCAAAATGTGGCCCGGGAATGGAGTTCTGGGAACTCGAAGAGCACGAAGTGGCCTACAGTTGGCTCCGGGCATTCAAAATGTGGCCCGGGAATGGAGTTCTGGGAACTCGAAGAGCACGAAGTGTGTGACTGTTGCATCCGGTTATTCTAAATGTGGCCCGGGAATGGCGTTCTGGGATCCGAAGAGCACGAAGTGTGTGGACTGTTGCATCGGTTATTCTAATGTGGCCCGGGAATGGCGTTCTGGGATCTCGAAGAGCACGAAGTGTGTGACTGTTGCATCCGGGTATTCAGAATGTGGCCTGGGAATGGAGTTCTGGGAAGTCGAAGAGCACGAAGTGTGTGACTGTTGGTGAAAAACGAGCCCGGCACCCTGCCGCCCGGCAACTCCCCAACACCTGCCCGGACCCCCCTGTGGAGTGATCTGTGAGCTCTTTTGAGTCAACTAGAAACCTATCAGTCTTCGCTGTTAGGTAAAAAAGGAAAACATCGCGTCGTGACTTCTTTTATGACTCGAGGGGGCCTCGGTCTCCCCCCTTCCCCTGGGTCTGCACGAGGCCGGGCGCGGGGCCGAGGAAGACTGCAGGGGTGGGCGGGGGGGGGGCGACGGAAAACCTTACAGACGATTTAGGGCAGGACGAGGACAGACTCGGCTGAGGATCCGCCACCGTGCCCCAATACGCTGAGGCGCGGCAGAATGCCAGAAAGGCTGCCTGGCAAGAAGGGTTTCTGATGGGCCGGATTCCCACCACCACTACCATATGTAGGACGGGGGAGAAAGGAGGATGAGGTCCTCCTCCTCCTCTCCTCCTCCTCCTCCTTCCTCCTCTCCTCCTCCTCCTCCCTCTCCTCCTCCTCCTCTTCCTCCTCCTCCTCCTCCTCCTCCTCCTCCTCCTCCTCCTCCTTCTCCCACGATCCCTCCTACACCAAAAGTCGATGGACCCGCGGTCCCGAGCTTCCAGAACGGCCCAGGCAGGCAACCGACCCCTCCCCAATGACCCAAGGTGGCCCCAGAGGCCCCGACGAGGGTCCTAAGACGGCCCCAGAGGGCCTCGTGACGGCGCAAGAGGCCTCCAAGACAGCTTTAAGAGGCCTTCAAGACGGCCCCAAGATGGCCTTTTCCTCCTCCGGCTCCTCCGGCACCTCCTCCTTCGGCTCCTCCTCCTCCACCTCCTCCTTCTCCTCCTCCTCAACTCCTCCTCAGCACCATCATCAGCATCATCAGCAGCATAGCATCATCATCATCATCATCATCATCATCATCATCATCATCATCATCATCATCATCATCATCATCATCATCATCAGCATCATCATCATCATCACCATCATCATCATCATCATCAGCATCATCACCATCATCATCATCAGCACCATCATCATCAGCATCACGGCACTCCCAAGTTTGGTGACACGATATGTCACATGTGTCGGCCTCCCGCGCCCCCATCGAACAATCGCCACACAGAGTGGTGGGCAAGCAGCTGGTGCACATCGGGGATCCATGAGACCAGGCGGATCTGGAAGACATATCGGGTGCCTCGGCTGATTCAGAGCGCTCCAGGACGCTCCTCCAGAGCGTTCTGGAGCGCTCTGGACCGACTTATCCTATACATGCGCATGCCTACATGGGACGCCCTGGATCGACTTATCCTAAGCATACGCATGCACACTATGTCTGAGACCTGCTCCACCGCTGACAGCGAGGCCGTCCACGGCGACAAGATACCAACGACTGAGCCGACCGACACCAGCAAACCGCAAGCTGCCCAGAGGGGGCCAACGATGCAACAACGACGCAACAACCGGACGAATCGAACCGACAGAACGCAACCGACTGAAAAGCAGCTAAACCGACCGAGCTGCAGACTTCTGGGGGTCACCCTGGCGTCGCAACGTGTCCCGCTGGGCGCTTTGGCCCACCCTCGGGCCCCCCCGTGCCCTCGAAAGTCAGTTTGGTGCGAGAGACGCCTCATAACGACAGGGCACAGGACTCCAGTGGTATTTTTCCGAACCGTCCTGTGGTGTTGGGTCCTCGTTTTGAAGAGACAGCGCCCGCGTCCTCTTTCCTCTCCTCCCGCTACCTCCTCTCCCTCTCCCTCCTTGCCTCTGCCCCTTGCATGTCTCTGTTTCGGCACACCCCTCACACGGATCGTGGCCCCAGGTGGCCTCGGGCCATGTCGGCACACCCCTCACGAGGATCGTGGCCCCATAAGGAGCAGCACCGAAGGCGCCAGTGGAAGGGTTCGCATAGCACCCGGGCCACGCCGGCACACCCCTCACGTGGCAAGTTCGCATGGCGGCGTCGGGCCATTTCGGCACACCCCTCACGATAATCGTGGCCTCATAGGGAGTTCCACGGAAGGCTCCAGTGGCAAGGCTCGCATGGCGGCCTCGGGCCATTTCGGCAAACCCCTCACGAGAGTTGTGACCCCATGGGGAGCTCCACCGAAGGCGCCACTGGCAGGGTTCGCACGGCGGCCTCGGGCCATTCCGGCACACCCCTCGCGAGGGTCGTGGCCACAATAGGAGCTTTACCGAACGCGCCAGTGGCAGGGTTCGCATGGCGGCTCCGGGTCCATTGCGGCACATCCCTCACGAGGATCGTGGGCCCATAGGGAGCTCCACCGAAGGCCCAAGTGGCAGCGTTCGCATGGCGCAGCCCCGGCCACTTCGGCACACCCCTCACGAGGATCGTGGCCCCGTGGGAAGCTCCACCGAATGCTCCAGTGGCAGCGTTCGCATGGCGGCCTCGGGCCATGTCGGCACGCCGCTCACGAGGGCTGTGGCCCCACAGGGAGCTCCATCCAAGGCCCCAGCGGCAGGGTTTGCGCGGCGGCCTCGGGCAATTTCGGCACACCCCTCACGGGGATCGCGGCCCGCAGGGAGGTCCACGGAAGGCGCCCGGCCAGAGGCAGGGTTCGCATGGCGGCCTCGGGCCATTTCGGCACGCCCCTCGCGAGGATCGTGGCCCCGTAGGGAGCTCCACCGAAGGCCCCAGTGGCAGCGTTCGCACGGTGGCCTCGGGCCATGTCGGCACACCCCTTTCTACAAGGATCGTGGCCGCGCGGGGAGCTCCACAGGAGGCGCCACTGGCAGGGTTCGCGCGGCGGCCTCGGGCCATTCCGGCACACCCCTCACGAGGGTCGCGGCCACATGAGGAGCTTTACCGAAGGCGTCAGTGGCAAGGTTCGCGTGGCGGCCCCGGGCGATTTCGGCACACCCCTCGGGAGGATCGTGGCCCCGCAGGAACTCCTCGGAAGGCCCCAGTGGCAAGGTTCTCATGGCGGCCCCGGGCCATTGCGGCACACCCCTCACGAGGATCGTGACCCCGTAGGTTATGCTGCTTCAACAACCGCGCCTGGGCGTCGTACTCCGCCTTGTCGACGTGCAACGCCACCTCCTCCCTCATGGCTCTCAAAGCCCTCTTCTGTTTCTGCTCCTCGGTCAGAAGGACGCCGTCCTTGTCGTCGTCGGCGCCCGCAAAGACGGCCGCGAACGTGTTCCTGAGCATGTCGGGCTCCGGCGGGAAGCCGTGGCCACATAGGGAGCGCGGGCGAAGATGGTATTCACAACTGCGGTATTCACAACTGCATATGGTTGGGTCCTTCGCCAGGTCAATTTTTCGGGACATCGGGGCTCAGTTCTTCTTCCTCCTCCCCCTCCCCTGTCCTCTTCCTCCTCCTCCTGCTCCTCTTCCTCCCACCTCCCTGCTCTTTTCTCCTCCCTCCTGCTCCCTCCTACCCCCTTTCCCCGCCGCCAACGACGACGCCGCGGAGACGACGCCGACGGCGACGACGCCGTCTCCGACGACCACGCCTCTGGGGAAACCAGACGGTACCGATACCGCTACCCCGCGGACCTCTCCTTGGGTGCGTTATGACCAGAATTTCGAAGCGAATCCGGCGGTGGCGACGAAGGCCTCCGATGAGGCCCAAGACGGGGAAAACGAGGAAGGGGTAGAGGTATGGGTACCTTTTCCTCCCCCGAGCCTCTGTCGATGACTGCGCTGGCCACGACGACGACGTAGCGCGAAAACGTCGACGAAGACGACGCGGAGGCTCCGGCGCCGCCGGCCCGCCGCAGTGCCTCCAGGGGTGGAGCCCAGCGCCGCGGCGCTGCCGGCGCTGCCGCCGGTGGCGCCCTGGAGAGGGCCGCCGGCGTTACGTCGGGCAGGTGCCTCTACAGGAGGAGTATTCAGGAATAGTCGAAAAACAGTCTGGGAACGATTCGTCGACTATTTTGGACCACTTCCAAAAGGCATCCGTGGCGAAAGACACGTCCCAAGGAGGGGCCCCAGTGCTGAAAAAAAAGAGCGCGTCTCTGCGGGCCCTCCTGCCGAAGCCCTGCGTTTGACTAGAGTGCTGACACTTCTTGAGCCTCTTTCCCCTCTGCTTGTCCCCTCCCCTCCCAGATCCGCCTGCGGGAGGCCATGCCCGACCGCACGCCAGCGTCGGCGACGAGCCCCGACCGGCCACGCGGCGGGGGGAGCCGTGCTCCGGAGCCCCTCGCGGTGCGGGACGTCTGGGGTTAAGTCGGGCCTGTCCCCCTACAGGGGGACTGTCGACGAAAAATGTAAAATACCGCAAACAGAATCAAGAAGTGGTTCCAAAATAGCCTGGGGACTATGTCTTGAATATTTTTTGATATTTTTGGTGCATTTTTTGGGGGTATCTTTCATCTTTCGTCGAAAATCCCCCTGTAGGTGGACACGCCCGACATGAGTCGGGGATGGACAGACCTCCCTTTAGCAAAACGTGGTTTAGTGAAAACGACCTGAGGCCCAAACCTGGCGGGCGCAAGCCTGGAAACTGACGGCCACGGCGCCCTCCCGAGAACCGAAAACGGACAATTCACTAATCGACGTGTCACTGTTGGGGGTTCTGTCCACCCCCGACTTAATCTTTCGTCGAAAATCCCCTCTGTAGGTGGACACGCCCGACATGAGTCTGGGGGCCCTGCGCGTCGCTCCGCGGCGCCCCTCCCCCCCGGCGGCGCGCCGTGCCCTGCGCGCGCGGGCCGCGGGCTGCTCCGCGGGCCGCTCCGGGCGGGAGCCCCCCCCCCGGGCGACGCTCGAGGCGTGGGGCGCTGCGGGGGGGGCCCGATCGGCCGCGGGTCCCAGACCCCCTCGCGTCGTGAAAAAATCACGACGGGAGGTTTTTAATGATTTTTGGCTTCTGGGGGCCCCTACCGGCCCTCGGGGCCGTCAAAAAACGACTCAGGACGAAAAACCGGTCCCGGGGAATGGGTCGAGACCTCGGGGGGTCGACGTCATGAAAAAATCATGACGTCGGGGGTCTGGGGTGGGGGAGGGGTGCTCCGGGCTCGAGGGGCCCCGGAGGGAGGCACGAGCAGGCAGGCGAGCGCCCCAGGACTCCCCCCAGGATTTTTTTCCTGTTGGGGGGGGGGGTGGTGCTCGTCACGCTCCCTGCTGTATGTCCCAGATGCTCCCCGACAGTCGTGGGAGTCCACGTTTGCTTGTGTGTGTGTGTGGGTGTGGGCGTGGGTGTGTATGTGTCTTTGTGTGTGTGTGTGTGTCTATTTTCCCTCCTGGCTTACCTCAGCGGCGCGCGCGCCCAGATGGCGGCAGAGGGGGCAGGCCTTCTCGGAAGGCCCAGAAGGCCCGACCTCCCCAGCAGCGTCCGGAACCTTCTCCGAAGACGCCTGGAGGGCTTATCAGAAGGCCCGGGGCTTCTGAGAAACCCCGCCGCCTTCTGAGAAGGCTTACCCATTCTCACTTACCCCCTCGGCGCGCTTCCAACTGCCTGGAAGCCTCCCAGATGCGTTACGACCCTGGTTTCGAGGCGAATTCAGCGGTGGCGCCGAGGGCCTCCATGGAGGCCCCGAAAGGCGAAAACGAGGCGAGGGCAGCGGTGTGGGTACCTTCCCCTCTCCCGGTTCTTGTTCTTGGCGGCGCGCAGAGGGGGGTAGGGGGAGGGGGGAAGGCTTCTTAGACGCAGCCCTGCTTCTTTGAAGGCGCGGGCCTTCTCTATAGACGTAAGGCCGAGGCCTTCTAAGAAGCAGGGTGCTTCTGAGAAGCCTTCCCCCCTCCCCCTACCCCCTTTTGCGCGCCGCCAATGTTCGCAGGCGCGAGGAAGGGGACGAGGAGGAGCGCGCCGGAACCAGCCCACTCGGCCTGGGAGGAGCGCGGCCGAAGAGCCGGCCGGCTCCGAGGCAGCAGGCCACGAGTCGGCCGCCGCCAGGGCGGGCTTTTGAGGGCGAGGCCGAGGAGGTGCACCCGTCGGGCTGTGCAGCCGAAGCGCTGTCATAAGGCGCCTTCGAAGAGGGAGCGAGGCTCCTCACACGAGGAAGGAGCCTCGACCTGGAAGCGGCGACACTGCGCCGACAGATCGGCGACGGGCCCCGCCCCCCCGATAGCGAGGCCGCACGCTCCTGGGCGGCGTGGGCGCTTTGGGGGGTCGATGCGCTCCCCCCGGAACCTGCCCCCCTTCAAAATTTGGCCCTGGGCTTCCTGATCAGAAGCCTGCCCTCCAGAGGCGGTCTGGGACGATCTGGGCAACGCTGGAGCGCTCTCAGCGGGGCGCAGCCACTGGAACGCATCCCGAGGCCGCAGAACCGCCGAGAGCCGACGGAAACGCCTGACAACCTTCCCGAGGCCGCATCGCGACGGCGCCTTCCTCGCGGAAGGTGCCGTCGCGATGCGGCCGCGGCCGCCGCTGCTGCGGCCTCGACGGTGGCCGCGGCTGCGGCCGCGGCGGCGGCAGCGCGACACCTGCCGCGCACAAGGTGCGGAAGGTGCAGGTGGAGGGTCGAACCTCGAACCTGGATGGACCGGGCCCATCAGGGTTGGCTGCGGAGCAGGGCCCCTCCACAGGCTTGAGGGCCTCTTCTCCGCAGCAAGCCTGTGGAAGGGATGTGGAGCAGGGGCCGACCGTCCTGGCATTCCTACAGACACACCGCGACATGTTGTTTGACACACAAATATGTTCCCCGAAAGGAATGATCTTACACCATGAAGCCGATATATAACAAGACAGTCTCAGCCAGAACTGTTCTAAGAGCATGTCGTGCGAACCACAAAAGGTATCCTCAGTTAGGCTTCCCTACACGGTTCTTACTTGACTGAGAGCTGGTGTCTCGTGGCCCACCTTTGCCCGTCCCCCAGACATTCCTCGGGTTCCTCGGGTTCCCCGGTTCCCTCGGGTTCCCCAAACTTCTCGGGTCTGTCGGGTTCCCCGGGCTCCTCGGGTTCCCCAAACTTCTCGGGTCTGTCGGGTTCCCCGGGCTCCTCGGGTTCCGTGGGTTCCTCGGATTCCCCGGGTTCCTCGGCAATGCCAAGCAATGCAGAGCAATGCCAACCCGTCCCAAGCGATGCGCCCAGCGATGCGCCCGTGCAGTAGGCTTGCCCGTGAGTGGGGGTCGCACCGGATGCATTGGACCATTCCTCGGCGCGCCCACATGGGCAAGCCAGCATGCCCTGCCGCTGCGCGAGGATGCTCCCCCCCGGTGGGCCTGCCGCTTCGTCCGCTCCCGGCTCCGCAGGTACTCCTGCGAGCGCGCGCGCCCGCTCGGCGGCGCGCGCACCGTGGGGGGGGGGGTCCGGCGGGGGCCTTCCGCGAAGGCAGGGGGGCCGAGTGGAGAGTAGTACATCCGCCCTCAGAATTCGCCGGCCCAACGGGCCAGAGGCGTGCTAAGATCTCCGGTAACTGGTTAACAATTCTCTAGTTCGCGCGCGCGGGGCGGCCCCTGGGGGTCCCCGGACGAAAAGTACCCCGGGCGATCCCCGGCTGATCCCCGGGCGACTCCACCAGAGCGCTCCATGAGCGCACCAACAGGGCTCCGAGACGTCCCCGAGAGCCCCAAGAAAGGCCAAGAGGCCCCCAAGAGGCCCCCAAGATGGTACACGAGGGGTCCGACATGCCACAAGATCGCTCCAAGACGCCCAAGATAGCCCCCAGACGCCCCAAGAGGCCTCCAAGAGCACTCCCAAGAGGGCCCCAGGAGGCAAAATTCATTGCTTTTCCTTAGGTTTTTGAAAGATTTTGGAGTTTCCACCTTTTCGGCTTCCCGACGCCCCAAGACGGCCCAAGAGGCCCCCAAGATCGCCCCAAGAGGGCCCAAGAGGCCCCCAAGAGGGCCCCAAGATGGCCCAAGAGGGCTCGAAGACGGCCCAAGAAGCCTCCAAGACGGCCCAAGAGGGCCCCAAGAACGCTTCAAGAACGCCCCAAGAGGGGGTTCACGAAACAGAATTTCGAGCTCTCGGCCCTTAGAGGCTCCCGGGAGGCCCCAAGACGCCCCCGAAGGCCCCAAGAGGCCCTCAAGAGGCCTCAAGAGGCCTCCAAAAGGCCCTCTGGAGGCCTCCAAAAAACCCTCAGGAGGCCCCCAGGACGCCTCACGCGGGTCGGGGTGGTCCTCCTCCCCCGCGTTCGGCTCCCGACGCCGCAGCTCCACGCTGCAAACGACCACTCGGACAGGCGACCACGGTGCGACATTATGGGCCGGCGGAATGAGCGAAGCGATTAAATAACCAGCCCGGCACGCGAAGCCGTCTAGTGAACGCGCCCAGAGCAGGAATCGGACAGGGCAGGACTGTTGAAAAAAGAATGCCCAGGGCCGTTGAGCAAACGCCAGGTGTCGGGTCCGGGTGGTTTTTCCTCCCCTGGCCGAGGAGGAGCGCTGTGGGAGGGGGGGATGGCCCAGGGGCAACGCTGGGAGGGGCCGCGCTTGGCTTTCGGGCACTTCCGTTGGATCTCGGCGGCCTTCCCGCCTCGGGATGCCTCCCAGCGGCTGCGCTTCGCCGCGGGCGTCCTGGCACTGCCCCGATCGCCCCGAACGGCCGCCAGCGAGCCGAGTCATGACCCGAAGGCCGCGGGGCAACGTGAGGGGAAGGCTGGCCCAGGGGGGGGGGACTTTGAGCTGGAATCGGCGATATGCTCGCCGATAGATCGGCGGTGGGCCCCCGATAGCGAAACAGCAGGGTCCTGGGCGGGGTGGGCTGACAAGTCCCCCTCGGCGATGAACGGGCGACGGGGAGTCGCTGCGCTCGCTCCTGAGCCGGTCCCCCTGACGCTGCTCTCGAGGGGCTTCTCGATCAAGCAGCCCTCCCCCCCGCCAAGCGGCATCCTCGGAGGGCCCGGGTCCCTCCCGAGGAGCTCGCTGCCTCCGCGGAGAAATCTGGCCCCCCTCGCCCCTCCCCCCGAACAAGAATCGGGCGTTGCCGCGAGTGCACCTTTCGTGCCCCTTTTGGGCCCCATAGGGGCCCCTTTTGGGCCCCATAAGGGGCCCCGTTAGGGCCCCGTTAGGGCCCCTTAAGGGCCCTACAGGTGCACAATGCCCCCCCGCCCCCCTATACACCACCCCCCACTGCGCAACGCCTGGTAGAAGCTACAAGCCGCTCCCCGAGCTCCATCTTGCCTGGTTCTCCGAGCCGAATGCAGCAGTGACGGCACTTCACCTCCAGAGGCGCCCAGCAAAATCCTTCCAGGCGGCGACGTCTCCTTCGCTCTGTGCGCTGCCCCCCACTCGCCCCGCCCCTCCTCGGCCATCCGGAAGAGCGACCACAGGACAGGGTAACCGATGCCCTGTCTATATGCTCTGGGCCTGGAAATCCGAGCATCGGCGCCAAGCCAAGGGATGGGCGTCAGCCGGGGGAGAACGGCCCCAAAACACCACGAAGTTACTGGTAATCTCTCGGCCACCCACTAAGCCCGAATAGTACCACCATCGCCAAGATGATCCGGACAGAGTGGAGGGCCTCGTGTTAAGTCGGGCCCGTCCCTCTACAGGAGGATGTTCAAAAATAGTGGGAAATAGTATGGGGACTATGTTTTGAATATGTTTCGACAATTTTTTGGAGTCCTTTTTGAGTATTGTTTATTTGTCGTCGAAGATCCCCCTGTAGGGGGACACGCCCGATTTAAGCCTCGTGAGCTCTTCCGACCCGAGATGATACACGTGGCCTCGCCCAGCCCTGTCCTTCTCGAGTGGGGGATCGACTACAGAACCGATGCACCTCCAGATCGAAATGCTCGTCGGACTGAAGAGAAATCCGACTAATGCACGTAGGCCAACGAGAATTATATGTATGTCCGGAGGAATCTGCAAACGCATCAAAATGTTCGTCAAACATGCCAGACATGCAAATAATGCGCGTAGAACTAAGAGCACTCTACGCATGTTTGGCAGACGATACAAGCAACATCGGAAGGCCCGTCGAATCTGAAAGGGAAATGCGAAGAGCGCGCGTCGATGTAACAACACCCTACGTATGCTCGACGGAGAATTCAAATGACGGAGAATTCAAATGAATCGGAATGCTCGTCAAACCTGACAGAGATGGAAACCATGCGCGTAGATCTAGTTACAGTCTACGTATGTTCGACGGAAAATACAAACAACATCGGAATGCCCGTCGAGTCTGAAAAGGAAATGCGAAGACTGATATACAAACAATATCAGAATGCTCGTCGAATTTGAAAAATAAATGCGAAGACTGCACGTAGATATAATAGCGTTCTATGTACGTTCGACGGAGAATTCAAATGAATCGGAACGCTCGTCGAACCTGACCGAACTACGAACAATGCACGTAGATCTAGTAACAGACTAAGCATGTCCGACGGAAAGCACAAACAACATCGGAATGCTCGTCGAATCCGAGAGAGAAATGCGAAGACTGCACTTAGATATGGAAACAAGATCGGACTGCTCGTCGAATATGAAAGAGAAGTGAGAAGACTGCACGTAGATCAGAGCGGTCATTCACTGTCCCTGGGCGAGTGGCTGAAGTGGAATTCCGCGATGCGGATTATTGTTGTTGTTGTGGTTGTTGTTGTTGTTTGTGGTTGTTGTTGTTTGTTGTTTGTGGTTTGTTGTTTGTGGTTTGTTGTTTGTTGTTTGTTGTCGTCGTCCCACCCGCGACCCACCCACGACCCACCTGCGACCCAACCCGCGACCCTCTCGCGACCCACCCGCGACCCACCCCGCGACCCACCCGCGACCCACCCAACGACCCACCGGCGACCCACCCGCGACCCACCCGCGACCCACCCCGCGACCCGCCCCGCGACCCGCCCGCGATCCACCCCGAGACCCCGCCGGGCGACCCTCTCGCGACCCACCGGCGACCCATCCGCGACCCACCCGCGACCCACCCCGCGACCCACCCGCGACCCACCCTGCGACCCACCCTGAGCGACCCACCGCCACCCACCCGCGACCCATCCGCGACCCACCCTGCGACCCACCCAAAACTTTCAGCGCCTGCGGCGGGCTTCTTTTGCATTCGTTCCAGAAACCTGCGACCCACCCGCGCCCAGACTACGTTCACTGAGGGGGGCAGCGCGCGGAGGTGGCGGTGTCGGTGCCTCTTCCCCCTCGGAGGTCCTGGGCGTCCTCCGGCTTGAACTCGATGCGCGTCGGGTTGCGCAGCAGCATGGCCTCGCGGCACGGCGCGCACGCACGGGGCCACGGCGGCGCACGGCGCGGGGCGCAGCGGCGAGGGCCAGGGCGCGGCCAGTCGACGAGGGAGGCTCGGGGATCGGGCCTCGAGGGTCTGCTTGGCCTCTCCTCGCACGGCGTCCACGAGCTTCGGTGCTCGCCGCTCGCCCTCTGACTCGCACGACCGCGGTGCGAGTCAGAGGTTCACCAGGCAGAGCCGCAACGCCAGACGAGCCGCCATCGAGCTTCGAGGATCTGTGATGTTGTCGGGCCTTCTTGCGCTGTTGGGGGCGTGCTCGCGGCCACGGCTTAAACCGCCTCGGAATTTTGGCCAGCATACACACCAGACAAGGCCCAGGACAACCAAGAGACCATTCCTCACCCAAACGAGTCGACACGGCAATTTGTTTCCCAATTTGAGCCTCTGGTGGCTCGATTCGGGCCGCGTGGCCGTCAGCCATTAGAAGCTGGTCGCCCTGGAAGGGGTCGAGCGCTCTGGGGCCTGTGCATTGGGGTATGAAAAGGCAACAGCAGAATGCGTTCAACAGCTGGTTCTAGCTCCAGATGTCCTTGCCGTCGATGGTGCGGCAACCTGAGGTGTCCACGGATTACGCGGGTGTGGGGCGGTTTCTTTTCAAAGTCTGGTGCTTGCTTGGAAGACCTTCACACACAATGCCTTAGGTTCTGAAGTTTCCAACAGTGGCGCGGATGACAGGCGGGTGGTTTTCGAAATTCGTCGACCCCTTGGGCTTCTCGAGAGTGACATACTTGTCTCTCCTCGGAACGCTCCCCCTGGAGCCCAGCCTGGCTGGCTCGGAGGGTGTCAGATCAATTGTGCCAGTGGTGCTGGGAGGCGATCCTGCTTCAGAAGTTGAGACGACTCGACTACATTTGAGTCGGGCCTGTCCCCCTACAGGGGGATTTTGGACAACACATAAAAATAGCAAAAACTGAAAAAAAACAAGTAGCCACAATAATCGTCCCCAGACTATGTTTTACTATTTTTGACGTTTCCCCCTGTAGAGGGGCATGCCCGACTTAAGACTACATGGCCCCAGGTGGCTCCAGATGGCCATCCAGGTCGTTCCCAAGGCGGCGAGGTGGCCAAAACAGGCTCCCCAAGAAAACTCTTAAGAGGACTGAACCGATAATGCCTCCTCCCTCCCTCTTTCTCCTCCTCCTCCTCCTTCTCCTCCTCCTCCTCCTCCTCCTCCTCCTCCTCCTCCTGTTCCTCTCCCCCCTCTTTTCCTCGCCCCCCCCCCCCCCACTGCGCACTGCGCCCGCCTCCGATCCCTCCCTCGCCCGCGCCGGGGCGCCTGCCCTGCCGCTCGGGGCGAGGCGGTGCCGCCGCGCCCCTCGGTGCCGCGCGAGGGGTGGCCCCTGCTCGGGGGCGCCGGCGGGGGCGGCGCGGTGCCGCGGCGCGCGCGGCGCGGCCAGAGGGGGGGCAGTGCAGGGGCGCCCCGCCGCCGCGGAGAGGGCCCTGGGAGAGCTGGTCGGAGGTGCGGCGGAGCGGGCAGGAAGGGGCCAATGGGGGGGGCACCAGGACATCTACGCCACGTCCAGGATTCACGTCGTTGAGGGGCATGGGGATGAGGATGGTGATGAGGATGATGGTGATGATGATGATGGTGATGATGATGGTGATGATGATGATGGTGATGATGATGATGATGCTGATGATGATGATGATGATGATGATGATGATGATGATGATGATGATGATGATGATGATGATGATGATGATGATGATGATACGGATACTAGTGAAGAGGATGATCATGATCATGCTCATGAGGACGAGGAGGAGGAGGAGGAGAAGGAGGAAGAAGAGAAACGAGGATCGGCGTCTTCTGTGGACGCTCGGGCACCTTTTTGGCCCCCCAGAGGCTTCCGGCCTTCGAAGCCTCTAGGGACTTGTGGAGGCGCGGGGAGAAGGATTACGTATGGGAGAGGAAGGGCGTGGAGGAAGAAGGGGATGGGCGAGCAGAAGGGCAAGGGGTAGGAGAAAGGGAAGGGTGGAATGATGAAGGGGAGGGAGAGGGGAGCCTGATTGGATATTGAGGATACTGAAGCGGATGGTCGATGGAGCGGGTGAGGAGGGTGGGAGGGAGGGCTTGCTCCCGCGGCGTCGGATGTGGCAGGTGTCGTTCTCCTCGCGTTGGAAGGACGGATGGATGAATGGGGAGACGGGCTCAAAGGGGGGGGGGGGAGGAGGGTGCGAGGGAGGAGGGATGCAGGGAGGTGGCTGTAGGACTGAAAGGTGTAAGGGGCACAGGGAAGAGCAGAGGGGGCTGGAGGGATGAAGGAACTGATGCATGGAGGTGTGAAGGGTGCGAGGAGTGAGGAACGATTGAGGGATTGATGGATGGAAGGGTCAAGGATGGAGAGAATACTGAAGAAGGAGGACATGGAAAGATGAGGAGGAGGAGGAGGAGGAGAGAAGAGAGAGGGCGCAAGTCTGTCCTCCCCTTTCTCGTCCCCTTTGTTCTCCTCAACTCCTCCTCCTCCCCCTCCTTCTGTCAACCCTTCTCCTTGTTATTTTTGCTTCTGCTCTCTCATGAATATCATTCCTGGTACTTCTTCTCCTCATCCTCCACCGCCTTCTATGACTCCTGAATGTTCTCCTCTTCTCCGGCACCCTTCCCTTCTTACTCCCTCATCCGCTTCCTCCTCCTATTCGTATTCCTTCCCTCGTGTACCCTCTCCTCTGCACTTATGCCTCGTTCAGGACTGCCCGCCTCCTCCTCCTCCTCCTCCTCCTCAGTCAATCCTCCTCCTCACTCACTCCTGCTCGTCCTCCCTCTCCTTCGCCTCTTTTCCCTCTTCGCTACTCCCTCCTCCCTCCTTCATCGCCCCTCCCCGCGCCTCTACATTATCCTCTCTACCCCCCCTTCACTGTCCGCCTCTTCCGCCTACTCCCCCTCCCCATCGACGATGAGGGCGACAGGAGACGACGACAGCGACGACAGCGGCGCTGCTGGGCCAGGCCGCACACGGCCGCGAGAACCTGTTTTTTGTTGTTCTCTCTCCCTCTCTCTCTTTCTCTCTGTATCTCTCTCTCTCTCTCTCTCTCTCTCTCCCGCCCACACATGATCATCCCTAACTCATCCCTCTTTGTGCTCCCATGTTCTGCATTGCTGCCATTTCGTGCTTGAGCGATTCAGGGACCGTGCTTGCCCACGCGAGGCTTACAGCAAGGACGGTGGTCGCCGCCATAGCCTGGAACGAACATCATCGCAGATAGTGACTCTCTCATCTTCCGGATTAGCACGGCCACATACGGCGACGGGTATCCAGAGTTCAAGTGCCGTCCAATCGACGGGGTGCTTCCATACATTTTTCTTCATCGTGCACATCGTCGGCAGCAGTGCGACACATCCCCGCCCTCCTCTCCAGCGCAGGTTGGTATGTCCGCGTTCCAGAGCGTCTTCGGGCAGGGCGATACCGCAAAACGTCTTAGACAATTTTTGGGACCACACGTCCAATGGCTAGGCCGGTTTCGCCAGGTGTCGATCTGCTACTGCGATGTCTTCCAGGGCCTCTCAGACCTCATGCAGCTGACGCACCAGCGTGCGGAGCAGGAGGAAAGGATCAGAGATGGCCAGACATGGGCGTGGAGAACCCAGAGGGAACCACACGAGGAGATCATGGATGTGGTGATGATGGACACGGACGATGACATCAGCGAGGAGGAGGCCTTGAGAATGCTGGGGAGGGACTACGGCCAGGTCGACTCGGATCAGGAATGGTCGATGTCCTGCAACGATCGCTGGTCAGTGGCCCCGCAGCCTCGGAGGAGGCTGAGGAGCGCCTCGCGGTCCGCGGGCCGCTCCCCGTCCACCACATCAAGGACCGCAATATCGTGTCTGCAGTAATTCAAGATACCCTTTTTTCGGTCATCCCGAGTTTCTCAGGAATCTGCGTCCAGCCAACGACGTCAATGGATCTGGGCACATAGGTTTCACAGACATGCGATCCCTAGGCCCTGGTGAGCCCGTTATCCTTCTTACTCGAGCATGTTGCGGGCCCGACACGGCCATCCTAGCGCCCCCTGCGAGGGGTATATTTGTGGAGTGCCATCAGTTTTGCACTAGTCATGCTCGCCATTCTCCGACTTCGGCGGGCCCAGGCACAGCGCAGAGTACCATCATGGGCGAGACAAATTCTTATCATGATCGCCCCCGACCTGCGCACGGCCATCAACGATTGGGATCATCCGCTTCTCCTTCAAATCTTCGAGTGCTTTCTAGGACCACCCCGCGGAGAGACCCGTGCTGTGGTGTATGTGCTTGGCAGTCATGGTGGTGTGTACATTGGCAAGGCAGCATTACGTGCGTCAGCCCTATGAGGGCTACTTGGCAGAGTGGCTGAACATGTGCGGGCAGCACTTCATCCGAGAGTCGGCCCAGGGCGGCGACCCCGCTACCGTGCCCTCAGACGTAGCCTCGGATCCTTGTTCCTCCTGCCCGCGCTGCTGCTACGGACCGAGAGGGCGAGCTTTCATCTTGAGGCACTGGCCATCAGACGCTCCAGCCCGAAGGTGCAACCAGTGCGACGCCATGGAGTCCGAGGCAGGCAGCAGGCGGCGGGGAGCCGGGCCACACCACGCCATGGGGAAGACTCGCCGCGCCCGCCGCCGCCGCCCCTCGTCGTGGGGAGGCGCGGGCCGCGTGCGACCACACCCCCGCGCCCCCCCGCGTGGGCGGCCACGGTCCTCTCGGCAGCTCCAGAGCGGAGAGCACTGCCACCCTGACAGGGGGAGGTGGGGCCACTGCGGCTATTCGAGGGCCGCAGGCTTGGGCTCCTGCTCGCCTGCCTCGCGGCCAGGTGGGGAGATCTGCCTGTGTTCCCGTTCCGGAGCCGCTTAGGAGGTTGGTGCCCACTTGTACCTTGCAGCGTCGCAGGCGCAGTTCTTCCTTCGGTCATACCATCGTCCGCGTATGGCCATGCATCACATCGACCTACACCTTCGTCGTCTACGACTCCCCCGAGCCAGGTGCCCACCCATTCAGCTTCCTGCCGTCTTTCAGGAGGCTGAGTACCGTCGTTGGCTTAGCTCCGCTATCACGGCCATGGCAAGATCAATGAAGTTCGCCCCGACACGGGAGGTTTATCTCCGACCACCGAGGGCGACCTATGCAAAAGCCCCATCCTGGAAGGACCACGTGTCTGCCAGTCGTTTCTGTGCTGACTTCTCGTCGCAGGCGCTGCCGCACCCGCCAGACGGGCCACCGTCGGCCCCATGGCGCCTTCGGCGCCTAGAGGGGCCCTGGCGCCTGCCCGTGTGGCCACGCCCTCGGCGTGCGCTGCGGGAGGCGCGTGCAGCGCTCAGCTCGTGGGCGGCCAAGGCACGCATACCCTACCGTGTCCTTCGACGAGGCTTTCGGCATCTCGACACGTGGCTGTCAAATCGCTGGATCGTGCCGCCAGAGGCACCCCCAGCCTGGCGAGAGGTGGAGACAGGCATGGCCAACAGCCTTGAGGAGGCCAACGAGCGCGTGATCATCGCGGACGACAAGGAGTGCGACAAGGTGTGGGCGTGCGACGGCTGTGACATGATGCGCTACCTCCACCAGCTGGCGATGGCCGACCCCGACAGGACATTGAGGCTAGACATCTCCCCGAAGGACGCGGCAGTCTGGATGTGGGGCCGAGCTGTGGCCGCACTGCCACCATGGCTGTGCACGCCACGTTTCCTGCCTCCGCTGTCGGCCGACACGAAGCCGCCCTACGTTTCCCCCACGGTCAAAGGAAAATGTGTCTCACCCCAGGGAGAGCGTACGTGTCACAAGCCTTTCCACAGCTGCGTTCGTCGTGTCATCAACTGTTCCCAAGCGCCAGGGTCGTACGGTTTCCGGGTTCCAGATCATTGGTCGGGCGGTTCGAGATATCCTGTCGCGGAGCGGGCTCAGTTCAGAGGTCTTTAACACCAATGATGCAGCAGGCGAGATCCGTCGTCTTCGTTGATCTCTCCCTTCAGCGCTAGCATCGCATTGTGCCCGTTGCTCGCAGCCCATCTCGGATATCAGCGTCGTGGTCGCCGATGTTGACCAGGCTTTTGAGCAGTGCAGTGCGTCCGCACTATCGAGGGCGTGGACCGATTTTGCGTCAGAGGCAGTACGTCAGCTTGGTGCTGATGCGACTCTTGTTAAGCAGTCTCGCATACCTCGGACCAGGCCCTGGTTAGGCTCAACCCCACCTGGATGGTTTAAGATCTCGGTGTTTGACGTCCACAAGGCATTGGCCTCGTTCTCCTGGATCTCTTGGTCTCCCTGGGTGGCGTCATGTATGAGATGAAAGGACTCCCCATGCGGGGTGCTTTCAGGAGTGGCCCTCTCCGTGCTCATGTGCTGGTTCGAGTTCCAGGCTCTCAACATGATGAGGC